GCTGGCTCATGTCCAGCTTCTCACCACCAGTACCACCTTAATTCAGGTGGTGTCTCGTCTCTGCTAGAGATGTTATAAGCTGATGTGTCAAGGTGGTGCTTCATGTAATTACTGTAGAACTTGGATGGGGTATTATGATTTCAATTATTTGTTAACTACCAATCCCCAGAAATGTCTCGGAATGCTTGCAATTTATTTTGTGAGCAATTAAATATGCAGCTCTTTGAAGACGACCTGTGGAAGTGCTGGAAAAAGGCACTCCCTGTTAACTGATATTAAAACTCATAGAGAGCGGGGATTTGGTGAGGCAGCATCATGACTACATTTCCCCTCAATTACTTCTGTGGTTGGAGGGAGCCTTAGAAGGAAAGACTGCCTGATTCCTTTGGTGGGGTGTTGGTGCGTGGTTTTTGGTTGTGTTTTTGTGGTTTTTGTTTGTGGGTTGGTTTTTTTTTTTTTTACTTCCAACAAATATTTAGGTTGCCTGTATGTTGGGAAGCACCTCATATTTTTAGGTGACTGTCTCATGGTACCAAATTCAGCTCTGAACTTGAAAGATAAATCCTTGTATATTCAGACAGTTTTTTCTGCTTGTTTCTGTATTGTTAAAAGTCTAATTAAAAAGATGGAAATATCGAAAACGCTAGAGAAGTATTAATTTATTTCTAAAACTTGCTATTCTGATTAACGTGATACAGTATGTTCCATTATTGCCTTACCATGTCACTCTCTTTACTGACAGATTGACATCCTGTCTTTTGCTTGGTTTAGAGTAGCAAACATTTAAAAATCAATATTAAAAGTATGTTCCCACAAATCAACTTTGTGACTTATTTTTGCCTCCTGAAAGGTAACTGACAAGCACCTGTCTGCTTGACTTCCTTAGGAGTGATGTGTTTAATCCTAGAGTGTGACAGTCTTCCCACAGCAGGCTGATCTCAATAGACTAACCCAAGCTAACATCCATTACAGTGTATTGATGTTTTGAGCTCTGAATACTGGTGTCTACAGAATGTAATACCTGCTTTATTTAGCTAAGGATTCAAAAAGCTTGTTTGTACTGTGGCTTAGAACACCCTCTTCATTTGCAGCAACTAAATCAAGTGGGGATTGTAACTGAGTCTCGGCTGGCTGCTGAGAAGCCCTTAGAGATCACTTAGTGTGTAGGTGGTTGAACACTGGCACAGGTTTCCCAGACAAGTTGTGGAATCTCCATCTTTTGAAGTATTCAAAACCCAACTGGGCACAGTTCTGGGCATCCTGCTCTGTCGGACCGTGCTTAGAGCAGAGAATGGGAATAGATGATTTTCAGCCTCAGCTATTCTGTGTTTGTGCAACTTCAGTTTTGGAGGCAGAGGAAGTTGGGAGCAGGTAGGCAGCACGCCTGGCCTGTCCACCTCCCATGTACCTACAAAGCAGAGCTTGGACACACCAAAATCTCTTAATATTTGGGGCTCCTTATTGGCCGATCTTAAGTTTAGTGAAGAAATCTATTAGTGGTTAAGGCTTCCACTCAAAGCAAGGCCATCAATTTTTTTGTTTCACTTGTAGCTCACAGGCAGCTTTCAGGTACTGTTTGAGTGTTGTTACTGCTCCATCCTTCCCCCCCCCCCAAGTAAATAATCCAAGAAAGGGGCAGATCCTTTTGGCTTCCTAAGTGTGGCTATTTTTTACTTTGAATATGGTCACCAGATGTTCCCAGGATGTGATCTTGACTGAAGTTTTTGTAATGTCTGTACTTTTCTTTGAAAAAGGTTAAGGTTGGTTATAGGACCCAATTTAAAATGTCAACAATTGCTGTTCTTTTGGAAGTCATTGTCATTCAGGTGGTTAATACATATTCCATATTGTTCCAACTGTTAGTTAAAGTTGCACTTTTGCCCTCCCCTCCATTTCTGCTCTTAAGACTCATCTTGATCAAGGTCATAACAAGATGAGTTTAATTCAGAAGTAGGGGTTCACAGTTTATTTCTGCTTAAAAAGCATTGTTGAATGGAGGAGGCGGGATTTTGCTTTTTACATGGAGACCTGATGGAGTATGGATGTCCAGGGAGGTGTTGGCTGCAGAAATTGTGGAGAGGGAGATCTTAAATGAAGCAGCACTGTCTGGGTAGGAGGGACTTGAGACACAAGTAGGTTTGGTGCTGTTGGTTGAGTGAGCTGGAGCAATGAATTTGAGTGGAATCTGAAATTTGTAGGGGAAGTTCTGGGGCAGGAGATTCTGATCTCAGGCGGTTGAGAGGTTCAGACTGGGGCAGAAGAAGAGCCAAACTGTGACTGAGGATGCCTAGTACTTTGGGCGGAGGGGCACCTAGGAAGGGAATGGGCACACGCAAGGATCTGAGGACCAAGAGTGGTTAGATTTATCATGGCACTCCTGTCCACTGTACCACTTCTAGGGTAGGGCCTGAAACTGCAGGTTTGAACTGCACTGTCCACTCTCACAGTGATTGAGAAAATATGGCAGCTGAAAGGGAGGCTGAAAAGGTTTTGTTGTGAGTTCATGATATTGAAGCCATTTGTCTTGTGTTCTGTAAGCCTTTAGCAAAGGGATTTCCCTGTCTATTTTCTTACACAGGCAAACATGCTGAAGACATATTTGGTGAATTGTTTAATGAGGCCAACAGCTTCTACATCAGAGCAAACTCCCTTCAAGACAGAATTGATCGGCTTGCTGTCAAAGTTACCCAGCTGGATTCAACGGTAGAAGAGGGTAGGTAATTGCATGAAAGCGTTGAGCCAGAAGTGATGTTGACAAGACCACAGTGTTTAATTAGACAACAATCTCTGTCTTTTCAAAGTAATCGCGGACTGATGTTTCTTCTTGTTTTCTCAGTAAGGCAAGCTGGGAAAAATCATGTTAGCAGAGCAAGAAAAATTATGCTTGAGTCGTATAGCTGTCTTCATTTTTGACTTAGTGTTACTTCAAGAAGCCCTTGTAGTAATGGAGCCATTAAGCTGCCTTTTTCACAGGGAAAACTTTTAGTTTGTGAGTGTAATAAATCAGAAGTGGATAAATCTAAATCTTACTGGAAATAAGTCAGAATATTGGAAGGAAGTTTGAGGCAGTAGATCTATTTATTTCAGGGTTGGGTGGTCACAGACTACATTAGCAATGTCTGTTCTGCAGTCATCAAAGATGTGATAATACTCTTCACCTGAACAAAGCACGGCGTGTTTGCATCAACTAGGTGAAAATCTGGGAGATTCTAGTTAATAGAAACAGCGTTTCCTTTAAAATGCTGTTACATCCTCATTTAAAAAGGTCATTCCCTTCACACAGTAAAACCAAAGCTTTTAAGTAACATTATGATGCCATTCAAAAGCACTTATTTGGGTAAGTAGAACATGTTTATCTAACTCGCAAAGCTGTAATATGCATGTTTGATGATGTGTGCAGTTACATGTCTGAGCCAGCCGCTCCATGTGCTCCTTGTGTAGATAATTCCTGACACTTAGTAAAATGTAAAAGCTTGTTACATCAGGCCCATAGTGTAATATTTCTCAGTAGCAGATAGTTCTACTTGTGATATATTTAATAGTACTATTCATGTGCTTGATATATTTAATGTTTACATCTGTATAGTTTATATATAATATTTAATACTACTATTAATGCCAATATTAAGTGTTACTGTTGATATTTAATAGAGTAATATTTAGCCTTCCATTTTTAGCTTGTTACTGTCTGAACATTACTACATGTCTGCTGTTTTTCTGGTTTTGGAATACTTTAACTGGTAGACTATCCCAGTTGATACTAGCACCTTTCTTTTCCTGTCTTAGAGGTCAAGAGCTATATGGGAACATAAAATAAGCTATTATGGGGTCACTATTTAGCTTAGGTTTTGGGGCGTGTTGTGGTGGTAGTAGGAGCAAGCTAGATGATACTCCTACGCTGTACTTGTTCTGTGCTGAGGATGCTGTCAGATTTCGTGACTTTCAAGTTCAACATTTTTGGAAATGTAGCCCTCTTCAGAGATTATTTTTGCTTTTGTTTCTTTTTTAATCTCTGACTTGTAATATGCAATACCTCCTGGCAAGTTTCCACAGTTTGGAGGGTAATGAAAAGCAGCATATTGGAAGGGGAAACTAGTGTGTGGACTGAGAATCAGTTTTTATTTTAAATTGACAGCAGTTATTACTCTTGCATTGCTAATTGTCCTTCACATTATAAGCTGTATATACAAACTGCTGTCGCTTTAGTGTCAGAAGGAAATTTTATTGGTTATTTCACTGTAGAAGTTGAAGTCTTCATAATAATTCATTGTACTGTCACTGATACTAAATATATTTCTGGTTATCTTAGGCATTTAAGTAAAATATTGGTTGCTAGGTTGATGTAAAAAGAAAAAGGTTTAGATTTAGTTTGCATTAAGTGATTTCTTATGTTCTTAGGTATAGCTGAGATCTAGGTCATATGTAAAAATACTTGATATATGTAACTAATACTAGAGTTGAAAAAAAAAGTTTTTAAATAATTGAGGTTAAATTCTCAAAAGCATATAAATAGCTTACACTAAAAAGCCCCAGAAAAATGGGATTTGTGCTTTTTTGAATGTGTTCCTTCAAAGAAGAATGCAAGAATTGGTTTATACGCCTGAAAAACCTTCCTGAAATATTTTACTGGTTTGCTTATAGCCAGGCTTAAATAGAAAGTAGTTTCTCAGAAATGATGTTTTGATACTTCAGGTGACATGGAATGACGATTTGGAATGAAATACTCTGTTTATAATTTTTTGCTATTTTTAAAAGCTATGGAAAAATCTAAGTGGTCTTGGAGTGCGAGGCAAGGCCCACAGCATAGGTAGCAAAAATAGCTGGGTAGAGAAATGGGGTCTGGTTTACATCATGACAAAAGGATAAGAGAACGTACTGTATAGGGTCTGTATCAAACTTCATGCCTTTCCAGTTTTGCAGGTCATCAGTATATTAAATTTTCCCCTTTACTGTTCATTTACTGTGTGAAATTCTGAGTTTGTTCTCAAGACTCGATAAATTAGATGAATGGGAAAGAAATATTAGATGAAATGTCAGTGGGAATAAAAAGAAAACAAGACAGTGCATTTTGTTTGCACTACTCCTATAGCTTATACTGTTGTGTAATGGTTGGATCAATTCAAGAAATGGTTAGTGTCCCAGTAGACAAGCCAGTGAGGACTTCAGTGCTCTGTTTAGCTGCAGTCAAACACCTGTATTTTGGGTTGCCCAAGAATGGAAGATAATGTGGAGAGCTTACTGACACTTTTAAATTGTGATTGGCGTTATCTGGATCTTTTTATCAATGGTCACTCCATCTTGGAAAAGTTTATATTAAGAATGAAAGCAAGGCTTGCCTAAATGTGACAGAAACAGTTTAAAACAACTTAAACCTTTGATTTGGAAAGAAAGAATGGAAAGGCTAGTGTTGTTTCCCCCAGAACTGTGTATGTGAAAAGATAAAATGGATGTTACTGGACTGTATAATGACGGTAAGTATTTCTCTCTGTAGAGAGATGAGGAAAACCTTAAGATCCAAGGGTTGATCAGTTGTATGGAAAGATTTTGGAGTTGAAAGATGGTAAAAGATGTGGAACTCTCTCACAGGAGGTTATGGAGGCCATAATTTAATTAAACTTAGAATGGGATGGAATGTGTATGGATACCACGTGTAGTTAGAAAAGATGCTGTGACAGAGGACTACCAGACCTTGTGTTTCAGGCTTGAAGCCAGACTTTCTGCTATTAGAAATCCAGGTTAAACCTCATAAAAAGAGGAAATCATTGGATGTCTGCATGTGACAGGATTCTTGCATCATCTTCCAAGACACAGTCCATGGTCCCATTATTTTAAGTGATGTTCTGGACCAAATAGAACTTAATTCTGATTTATTTTGGTAATTCTTGTATGTCTTTGTGTTTAAATATCATGATTATGCACCAAAGAAAAAATCTTTGGTTTTCTTCTATATTCTGCTCAAAATACTTTAAATAGGTTGTGTAAAATGGACTTTGTTTATCCACCTATGTCCATTTCAGACTTGTGATAAATAATTTTTTTTTTTTTCCTCCTAACAGTATCCTTACAGGATATCAACATGAAAAAAGCATTCAAGAGCTCAACAATTCAAGATCAGCAGGTGGTTTCGAAGAACAGCATTCCTAACCCGGTGGCTGATATTTATAATCAGAGTGACAAGCCACCACCTCTGAATATTCTTTCACCTTACAGGTACAGAAATATTCATTATTTATGTTCTTGTACTTTTCCCTTTATGTCCTATTTGTAGGCAGAGAATAATTATAGCAGAAGAGAAAAGCTGTATTGGTTAGAGATTTTTTTTGAGGAGTCTCCCCTGTTCATGGAAACAAAAATTGCTATTACCAAACTTAAAATTTTACGTTGTGCCTGGCAAAAATCGTCATCTTTCAGCGTAAGTGTTACATGGCAGCACAAGATAGGATAGCAAGGGCCACTGATTATGTGAAAAGAAAATGAATAGTATACTAAACTCCTTTCTTTGGTTCATTTATTGAAAAGTTGGTTTTGTTGCTTTTGCATTCCCCATATTTTCCTTCTTCCCTCCAACATACACGTGTACACACACAGTCTTTACATTTTCTCTTCCTGGTTACGTATTCCTGGTGAATTAAAGAGCAGCAAGCAGGACTTTGTTTCCTGTTTCCTTTATGTTCATTGTTGCTCATGAGTGAATATAACTTGTTTGTCTGTAGGATTGAGGACAATGTGTTTTTACTGTGTCCTTTCATTTTTGAGAGGTACTGGATTATGAGCTATCTGTGTAAAGCAGGCACTCATTCTGCAGTAAACTGTTTGAAATTTTTTTAGGAATGGCATAGCAGAGCGTTTGCAGTTGTTGTGGTTTAACCCCAGTCAGCAACCAAGTACCACACAGCTGCTCGCTCGACTCCCCCGGTGGGATGGGGAGGCGAATAGGAGGAAAAGACAAGACTCATGGGTTGAGATAAGAACAGCTTAATAATTGAAAATAAATGAAATAAAATAATGCCAATAACACCAATATTACTACTAATATTATATAATGAAATACTACCACTACTACTAATATGTAATGAAAATAATGGAAAAGAAAACAAATGATGCATCCACTGACCAGAGCCTGAGAGCCATCGAGCCAGCAGATCCAAACCAAGAGTGAGACCGACCCCCAGCCCACTCCCCCCAACTTATATACTAAGCCTGATGCCTTATAGCATGAAATGTCCTGTTGGTCAGTTTGGGTCAGTTCTCCTGGCTCTGTCCCCTCCCAGCTTCTTGTAGAGAAGAACTTGTGGTGTTGTTCTTGTACAGAAGCTGGGAACACAAGTGCAATATGAGAAACTGAACAGAAGTCATTGACTTGATATAAACATTGCTTAGCAACAACTAAAAACATTGGTATGTTGACAGTATTCTTCTCAGCACAAATCCAAAGCATAGTCTCATACTACATCCTGTGAAGAAAATTAACTCTATCCCAGCTAAAACTAGCACAGCAGTGTATTTCATTTTTAAGAGCTTTTACCTGGAAGGTAAAACTGTTAGATTTATAGCTGAAGGACATGTTTGTTTGTTTTTTTCTGCTGCTACAGACAGTGGTGCTGTTTCTTTATAAGCATCCAGTTAGTAAGAATTGTTATCGATCAACTGTTCTGCACAGCTATGTCCCAGTATTTATCTGGATGACAGTGTCAGTGACCTTTATTGTTACTCCAGTTTTATTAGGAATACTTTAGCAAAATTTACTTAAATTACATTTCTTGGTAAGTCTTTTACATCAGCTGAATTCAAGTAATTTGGTTTTGTCTTGGATAGAGCTTAAATGAACATGAGGTTGTAGTCTGACCAAAGCTGGAGGGGTGGGAGAGTGGCCCCCGGTACCCCCGTCAGTAAGTTAGATGTTTGCAGCGAGGAGATCTAGCACACAGGAATAAGGGGCTTATGGCCATGTGACCAGACAGTATACACTGCTCTCTGTACCCTGCTCCAGTGGCTGTAAGGCTTCCAGGTGCCAGATCTCCATTGCTCTTGATCTTGCTGGTAGAAATTAATGTTCAACTGCCTTACATCTTCCCAGAAAGAAATTAAGACCCACAGCCAAAAGGGACTTTGATCCCGATCTACCTTGCTAAACTGGTGTCCTTCACAGTCATATGCTGTTGGGACCATGCCAGCTTCTCTGCCATATTGACTCCTCCTGCACATCTTGCTTTCCAGGAGCTTAGGGTATTAGAAGATTCCCTATTTCCAGGCCGTGGGTTAAAATTAGGGTTTGATAGCGTATCTTTTTTTGTGGCTTCTAAGCCTGACTGTCCCACGCTTCTGCTGCCAGTTGGAGCTGGCAAGCCCAAATCAGCTCTGTCTCAAATCCTCCTAGGATTCAACTTTTCGGATGCCACCCTTCCCCAAGTTAGAGTGTCCCACTGGGAACAGCAACTGCCTTGTGCTTCCTGTCAAAAGGGTGAAGGTACTCAGACTTACCTTGTTCCTAAGCTCAGATCCTAAGACCCATTTGGTGTGACCAAAATTCTCCTTTTCCAGTTCTTTGAGACAGTTGCGTTCCGTTCTTATGCTCCCCTGTCCTCTGCACGTCCTCTTGGCAATGATCTTCCTGCAGCAGCAGTGCGTTCAATCCTGTGAGCCTGGTCAGCTCCTGCTGAGGTCTGATGAGGCATAGCCTGGGAGCATGCCTCCCAAAAAACTGTGGATTCTACTCCTTTCCCCTGAAATTCTTGGCACGAATCAAGCCGACTGTAAGCTGTAACTACCAAGAGTGTCATTGGCATGGTGTCATCCTGTAATGGAAGAAAGGTGAAGCAAGGATGATTGTGAGAGGTGAGTTTGGGTTTGAAAAAATACTAATTCATATTTCCTTAGCTTTTCTTCCACTCTATTTCCAGGGATGATAAGAAAGATGGATTGAAGTTCTATACTGATCCATCCTATTTTTTTGATCTTTGGAAAGAAAAAATGTTACAAGATACTGAAGATAAGCGAAAAGAAAAGAGGAGACAAAAGGTAAAAGCAAATATATAATAGCAAATGTATGTATTACAATTTTCTGTACAGTTGTCCAGGCATAAAAATTGCTAGGTTGTACTTAGTTTGTGTGCATGGAAAGACGTGGCTGTAGATTCGATTGGTTCAGTTTTTATAGCTCCTGCTGTCTATTTTAAGAAGTCGGCAAGTTGAATTTTAGGAGACACTAGTTTTTCTCCAAGATACTGTCTTTAATCCTTTGCCAGTATCTGCTTACTAGTACTCAGCAAGAGGGCTCTCTTGTGCTTTGGAGAAAGACACTGTGATTTAGCAGGGAGGAAAGGGTTTTGAATTATGGTTTCCTTTATTTTCATAGTTCTTTATCCAGCAGCATCAACTCCTGTAGCAAAACATGAGCTTATCCAGAAATATTTTATTGGGCTTCCTAGTGCCTCGATAGTAAATCTTCACTCTCCTACACTTGTAACAAGTTAGTAAGGTCATAACGCACAGAAAATTATTCTGCAGTTCAGCAACAAGAGAAGATTAATTTTAGGAGTAATATTCTTTGTTACCTCTAAGTTTAAAACCAACAAAAAAAGGGCTTTTCATAAAAAAGTGTCTTTCAGTCCTTCTGGAATATCTTCAGCAGTTTGATCTGAAAGTGTGTTTTGGTTTTGGAGAAAGAAATGAGTTGCTACTTCTGCAGCTTCTTTGTGGTCAGTTTTTTAATCAAATCTGAGGGCTTTAAGATGTTTGAAGGTAATTCTGGAAAAAAAAAAGTGAAGGAGGAAAGTTTGAAGCAATGACTGCCAATCTTATCTGGCAGAAGGCGCCCTTTTTGATAGGTTCAGAGAGAGATAAGAGATTTAAAATAAAAGGAATCCAAACAAGATGCACAGACTGCTCAGAGGAAATAGAAGGAAGCTACTTAGTTTTCACTACACATACGTGTGTGTATGGACACACATGTGTATATATCCTATATTAACATCTCTATACATGTGTATATATGAGCAGGTATCATAATATATCAGCATATATACATGTATTATACACTTGTATATACATCATGTCTAATACATGAATATACATGTGAATGTCTATGTGTATACATGTGAATGTCGATTTGTGTATACACATCATGTGTATAATACATGTGTGTGTATGTATGCTAATATGTATGGTACCTGCTTAGAAATCAAATTGTAGGGCATGACTGGGAAGCTTTACCATTCTGGTTTTGTAAAGTTCTGTTAATTCCTTGTTCCTGTTGCTAGACAGAACTTTCACTACAACATTTTTACCCAAAACACGAAGACTTGCTTTAATTAAACCTTTTAGAGAATTCACGTTTTTAAAAGTTGTGGAAGAAATAAATCCTGTCTTCCTGATAGGTGTATGAGTCAAAAATGGCTTGTTTTGACAGGTATCTCTGTACTGAAATATTAAATAGGGCTGAAAAAGCTGAATAAACATTTTTATTACAAGTTACTGTCTAATGCAAAGTAGTGGAAAATATGCACTTGGTTATTGTATATATATGTATATGCAAGGTTATAATCCAACTATATTCTGTTTGATAAGTCACAGAACTGATTAAAAGAGTAGAAATAATTAAAGCACCTTTCATTCTCTAGTTTAGGCTTTTTTTTAAATTTCATTCAGTATTTCTTTGTGAAAAATGTAGGGATAATTGCACCCTCTGGGTTTTTTCCTCCCACCTTTTTCCCCTTCAAATTTAGACTTTTTCCACAGAGAGAGGGATAAAAAGAAACTATCAACTACTTACTTTTTTCATTCTGATTTAATATTAAAAAGGAGGAAATACAAGCGCTTTTAAAAACAAACAAAAAAATCTGAATGTTGCTTGAAATTTTTTTTATACCTTCAGAGGTATTTTTACAAAACCAATTTATATATAAGCTTACTTCTAGACTATATTTTAGGCAACACGTCTCACTTATTTCCATCAGTGGTATATTACTTTGTTGATTGTCTTATTACAGTCTACAAATCAGGTAGTACAATATGGTCAATTCCAACCATGTAGGATTAGAGCCATACATCACAGAAATAATCCTTGATAAATTCTGCCTGAAGTGCTGTTTGATTTGGTAAAATATCCAACAAGACCAACTAAGAAGAAAGCAGCATAGATTTGAGTTTTCGTGGATAGGTGTCACTTTGTCAGGAAGAAATCTGGTTTTTGGCTTCCCAGGAGGTGGTGTGCAAATGATCTTTTTGTCATCTGGAACCTTTAGAGAGCTGGAGGGTTTGGGTGAGATGTCTCACAGGCACCGTTTGTTCCACAGGTTGCTTAACGGACTCGTTTTCTTTGTTCGTGTCCTTTTGATAGCAGCGACCAGGAATGGATCCAGAGCATCTTAGTAGCAATTTTGTGGCTGAAGTTGTATTTTGAATCTGCTAAGTGAGAATTCCTCGTGCAATTTGTACACTGCAGAAGCACAAGATACAAAAGTTGTTGAGAAGCTGTGCAGGTGAAATAGATGTGTGTTGTCTTAGCAATTTATAAAGCAGATATCCAACTGCGGTCCTACTCAGTTGACCACATATAGCTGGCTGTTTTAGCCTCAGTTTTTCAGGTGGTCAGTGAAGCCCCAGAGTACTCCTTGCCCCAGAGAATCAGTTTTTCAGTATTATTGTGGTGATTTGCCTTAAATGCTCGAGCTGCTGCAGCAGGAGGTTTGTGAGGAGTTTCATTTTCCTGCCTTCAGATATCATACTTGCTGCTTCTGTGTTCAGTTTAACTGAAGAAATTTAACACAGGCTTTCTCCAATTTGGCTCTGGCAGGTGAACTTTTTGTTAAAAAAAACCCTATTTGGAATTCTTTAGGTTTAAAATTTATGGTATAGTCTCTGGTTTTGGGGTGGTTTTTACTGTCAGAATGTCAGTAGATCAGTGCCTAAGGGCTCAGTGAAGCTAGTTCTGATGTTTGCATATATCAGTAATATTCTGAACCGAACGACCGTAGTAGGCCAGTTGTTCACTGTTGGTTAACCAAGGGAAAGTTGTTCTACTTTGCTCTTCATTGTTCTCCATTCTTGGGGGGATTAGTTATTTAAATAAAGAGAAAACTTGAAATTTGGAGAGCTTGTATTGCAAAAATCATTCTTCCTGATTTGTGATTGATAGGATTTTGTAAATTTGTGAAGTCAGGAAAATACTCCAGTCTCCCGCTTCCAGTTTTCTGAAGGTACTGCAGATACTTGCTGAAGCTACTGTGTGTTACTAGTCCTAATTCTCTGTTAGGTTGCTTGAAATATTAAGCTTGATATTTGCATCAAGAGTTAGCAAATGATTTTAACTTAACCCAGTTTGAGGGCTGTAATCTGTTTGTTGTGTTTGCTGAAATCACTTCCTGCCAACAGCTGAATGATGTTTCTGTTTTCTGGCTTAACCTACAGCATCTGCTTGTCTGCCACGGCTGCTATTACACTTGGTTAAAGGAAGTAACCTCTTAATGTTGCTTAATACCTGATCCAGTATAAACAAACTAAGCTTTGTGTTTATTTATACACGTGTGTATATTTACTTCATAAAACACCAAAGTGATCTCTTTAAAACCAAACTTTTAAATAGGTGATTATATGTAAGCAATCATGTAAGCTTGCCCGAGTGTACAGGGATTGTCTTCTGAGCAGCATCACACGTTGACCAAAAGGTAGATATTTACTTTATCTAGAAACTCACAAGAAATACTTAGTTCTGACCCTTAGAGGATGGAGTTACTGCTCTGTAAAAGAGAAAACTAAAGTGTTTTTTCATTTAACCAGAAGGCTTACTTGTACGTTCCTCTCAAATCTAGCATGATTCAGTAACCAAATCTTAATAAATGAACCAGGATAAAAGTGAAAAATTAAATTATGCAGCAATGAAGTGAAAAAGAGAGATGTAAAACATTTAACAAGCATCTATTAAACCATGGCGATTAGCAGAGGTTTATATGTTTAAAATAAGGCATGACTGAATCTGTCTCCCTTCGGCTCCAATTCCTGTATTGGAAGTGTTGATGTGAAGAAGTGGTATTAAAAAGAAAGTGAAGCCTTGCATAACCTGAATTCTAAAAAATTTGGGGAGGAAAATTATTTTATAGGAAGTAATTAAGACCCAAGGTGGTGATCGTTACTTAACATGAATCAGATCAAAAATCTTCTTATGGCAGGGGCCAGGAATAAGCAAGTGTTGTTGGAACATTTGGGTGTTGAACTTCAAAAAGACTTCTCTCTCTCTGTTATACTTGATGTTAGCAGGTGTGGATCAGCAGGTCCCTCATGCGGACATGCGTGAACAAGCAAGCAATCCAAAATAAGGGCAAGCAAGCCATTTGATAGACTTTTGTTAGTTGTATAATGCCAAATACATTATTTCAGAATTATTTACTCAGCGCTGTTTGACAGTTGGAGTGAAATACCAGTGTTCATTGGTGATGTATTTTTTTCTTTTTGGTAAGACTGGCTTTCCAACTGTTATCCCTTACTTTGAAGGCAGAGATTCCACAATAAAATGCTTTCCTATCAGCATTTTACCAAACTCTTTTCTAAATACAGTTGAGTATGTCTGCATTCTCAGAATATCAAAGTAGTTATTTCCTGATAAACTATTTTTCCAGCAGCCAAAAGCCTAATCCCAACTTATTAATAGGTAAAATATGTTTAAGCTATTTATGAATTAGGATTCTAAGATGTGGGCTGTAGAGCTGATTAAAAAAAATTGCAATGTCCTAATAAACGCTGAGGAAAGAGTAGCACATAAATACCCTTCTCAGTTTGGATTGAGCAAACTACTTGAGTTTTCTACTGAAGCACCAATATGGTCTTTATATTGACATTTATAGTCAGAAGTAGCTGAGGGCATTGCAGAGGTGTGAAAGCATTGAGTCCCAGATGCTCAGAGGGCTGGAGCCCCTCTGCTATGGGGACAGGCTGAGAGAGTTGGGCTTGTTCAGCCTGGAGAAGAGAAGGCTCCGGGGAGACCTTACAGCACCTTCCAGTGCCTGAAGGGGCTACAAGGAAGCTGGGGGGGACTTTTTACAAGGGCCTGTAGTGACAGGACGAGGGGTAATGGGTTTAAATTGAAAACGGGGAGACTGAAATTGGTCATAAGGAAAAAATTCTTCCCAGAGAGGGTGGTGAGGCACTGGAACAGGTTGCCCAGAGAAGCTGTGGATGCCCCATCCCTGGAAGTGTTCAAGGCCAGGCTGGATGAGGCTTTGAGCAACCTGGTCTAGTGGAGGGTGTCCCGGCCCATGGCAGGGGGGTGGGAACTAGATCGTCTTTAAGGTCCCTTCCAGCCCAAACGATTCTGTGATTTTGTGATCTATTAGGAGATCTTACTGATAGATAAACTGACATTGATTGGGCTTGAAATTACATAGAAAGATTTTAAAAACTTAATAGACTGATTTGTCAGTATTTATCAAGCTGTAATGTATTACTAGCCTGAATATTACTGCCCCATTGCAAAGAGGATTAGTGTCATTCGTTTTTGTATAACATAATGGGAAACAATGAGGGGGAAAAACTAGGAGGAATTTCAGTAGTGAATCAGATCTAAGAAGGAAGAGGAAGTTTAAAATAAAAAATCACTTTACATAGGCTATGAAATAGGTAAGTTTCTAATTTTTCCATGCTTCCCCCAGGGTCTCAGGGGATTGTGACCCTAACGAATAACCAAAATAAACCTGAGTATATTTAAGATATTCTCATAAGATTGATTTGCAGGAGAAGGAAATTAGAGGTGCTTCAGGACCATCTAAATAAATGACATACCATGTCAGAAGAAGTTAAAACTTTCTGGCTTTTAAAACCAGTCACATTTCTGTACTGGGGGAACAACAGTAGGTCAGTATCACACCAGCATGTGTGCCCTACAGAAGAAGGGCAAAGCAGCAGTCTTACTCCCGATGAGGTTCATAGCATAAGGAGATGCCCTCATTTTCAGTGCAGAAAAATTTTATGAAGACTTGGCTTCACCTGTAAATCTGGACTTATTTTCATGCACTCTAACTGCATTTTAACCAGCTTTTTTCCTTTCCTTTTTTTTTTTCTCTCTCTTTGCATGCTTTATTTCTTTTGTTTGAATATTAGGAGCAAAAGCGTATAGATGGCACCACCCGTGAGGTGAAAAAGGTTAGAAAAGCCAGGAACAGACGCCAGGAGTGGAATATGATGGCATATGACAAAGAGCTTAGACCTGACAACAGGTTGTCTCAAAGTGTGTACCATGGAGCATCTTCCGAGGGATCACTGTCCCCAGATACTAGGTCTGTTTACAGCAAAGCTGTTTGTTGTACCGCAGTTGTATGTTCAGAGATACGGAGTAGAATTAGGTGTTTTTACAGGTCGGGAGTAGTTAGAATAGACAAAACGTACAATGCATGTTTTCGAGTTCTTAAAATGATTTTAAAGCATAAATAACGTAATAAATCCTGTAATTCTCGTTTTTTCCTCCTCGCCTTCAGATGAGCCTTTTGTCGTCGTAATGCACTGTAGTGAAATAAGTGTTTGCTGCATGCTTTATATTGGGTCTTGAGTAGTTGGGGTTACAAAAGCATTTAAGTCTGCCTCTACTAGATACTGTCAGTACCTCTTCCTTCGTGTTGAATTCTCATCTGTTATGCTGCTGATAGCTTCAGTATATTTTTCTGTGACCTACTCAATTGAGCGCACACAGAATGATTTAATGGGGGAATAGTTGAGCTTTATCGATGCTACGTTTGTTTAAAAAGCAAGCTACAAAACCGGATGCAGCATTATTGCTTGAAATAGCAGGAATCTGTGCTTCGAGAGAGACAGCAGTATTCATCTCCATTGACCGAGACTCCCTTTGGGCTCAGCCAGAGTTACCTGCTGGTGTGCACGGAAGTTGGAGGTGTTTTGTCACTAAGCTGGTCTCTCCAAAGGGTTTTCCCACATTTATGTCCTCTGTCTGTTCTGGTTAATTGCTAGCAGTAATGTTAGGAACAAATGGAATCTACTGGAAAACGTGTGTGACAGCGTAGTGTTTAAACCGTTGAGGAAGCAGCCACCACTGCAGAAGTGTGGACTGACACCTCTAGTGTGCCCAAGTCAGTTTAAAAAAAAAAAATTCGGCTCAGAACTTTATATATGTAATGTTTTGGTCTTTGTGAAGAGTAATCCTCTTGTAATTGAAACAAATTTAAAGAAAATTGCTACTGCTGTTTCCATAATATATTCAGTCTCCGTCCTGTCTGAAATCCTTTAATCACCAATTCTTTTTCAGTTTTAATGCAAAACGTTCTCTCCTGTTTGTCATCTGTGATATTTCATTGCCTGTGCTTTCCGTAGGTTGATCTGGTAAATGACATTAGTGTTCAGATGTCAAAAGTGCAAGATGTAGATTCTTTTTCATCATGGGTTCTGTTTTTTCCCACATTTTTGAGTCTTTTTTTTCTACCTTAACACCTTGCTTCCAGGATTCCCGAGCTTGTTCCAGGATTCCTGAGATTTGTTTCTATCTCCCAGCAATGGCATGTGTTTGACGGTTTGCAGATATCCATAATATTTGCCATCTGTAGGATTTTTTTAGGCAGAAATTGTAGGATGCATCGTTATGTTGGACATAGATATCGTGGTATCGCAGGTATCCATCCCCTATAAGCCTTTCAAATTTTGTAACGTATGGAGAACTTTAAATTTCAATGACTCAAATATCAGTGATTGAATCCTGAAATCTGTGTTTTACATGCATGAAGAGTTAATTTTGTGAGTGGTTGTGAGGTGGAGAGAAGGTTTTCTATTTTTCTTTTATCTTGGGATAGTCTTAGCTGTAGGAAATAAGCTATAAAAAAATCCCATACATACAGAAATAAGTACTGATTCCAGACATTTTTAAGCTGACAGTTACTGCATGAGCAGTGCTTTATAGATAAGGTCTCAAAGAAGTGTATTTGGCTCTATTGTGATTCTTTTTTAATGCTAAATTTAAAAAGAAAGCTCATGTTTCTTCTCACTTGCTAATTGTAAGACTTATGCATTAAACATTGACATCCAAGCATCCAGACTGTGGCCGCTGACAATGTATTTGTTATACTTATTGTACCTTAGAGAGAGAAACACAAGCTGAATCCAAACAGGAACCAGCAAATTAATGTGAGAAAAGTAAGAACAAGAAAAGAAGAGTGGGAAAGAAGGAAAATGGGCATTGAGTTCATGAGTGACGCAAAGAAAATGGAACAGGCAGGAAGCATGAAAGAGGACAAAATGCCCAAAGGGTTTGTCATTTTGTTTTACTCAAAGCCCTGGCTTTTTGTTGCTTACCTTGCTTCCAGTCTTACAGCTAAGTGCATCGGTTTACTGTGTTCACTAAAAGCCAGGCTGCACGATTGCTCAGTACTAAAACAACTGCTGGCAGTAATGGGATGAAGAGATCCTTTTGCTCCCTCTCTTGGGCTTATTTGACAGAGCATCCTACACTTTGTATCTTTATGAACTCTCTGCTCAACTAATATTTACATTTCCCAGTCTCTCTAAGCCTTTCCAGCAATATTCGTTGTGCAAACAAAATAAAAAGCATTTTCTAACTTTGGAAATCGGTTTTCTCTGCTTTGACGTAATATGTTCTCCTACACAATTGTGACTGCTTGCAGTATTGCTTTCCTTTTCCTGCTGCCACTGTTAACTTAAGGCAGGCCTGATAAGTCCTATCATTTCAAACAATGGACTGTCAAAATCATTGACAAAACCTCTCTTTGTGGCTGCTAAAGAACTCTTAAACCTGGAGGAAGCTCTAAATTTTTTTGCCTTTTAAAAGGTCTGCGTTACAGGAGGGCATTCTGCATGCAGCTAGTATGCTGGAATACTGAAAACATTAAATTTCAGTCCCTTAATGCTGACTTGTCAGACTAATTTATTTTCAAGGCGTGTTAAGCTGAACCATGATTTTCTGTTGCGTTTGTGCTTTCAGTGGACTCACAAAGGAATGGTGCTTGGTAATCAGGGAGGCCTCTTGCAAGAAAAATAATTCTGATTGCATTCTTCTAGCTTTTCTTGTGAGCTGTTTAGATAATACCCTGTTACACTCACATAATCTGTTCTTCTGCATCCATTTACTTTAATTTTAGGTCCCATGCATCTGATGTTACAGATTATTCTTATCCTGCTACTCCGAATCATTCCCTCCATCAGCAGATAGCAATGCCTTCATATGGAACAGGAGATGGTCCACAGTACATGGCAGCATCTCAAAGCCATGAGCATGAATACAGACCACCTTCCACCACTGTACGACATGCTACTTTAAACAGACCTCAGCAACCACCTCCACCTCCACCCCAGCCTTCAGATGGCCAACATAGCTCAGTACCTGTGGTACCAGCAGAATATGGGTAAAACTCCTGATTTATTCCACTGGACTCTTGACAAAACGAGAGGGATGAGTGTGTTTCATAACCATCATATAATATATAATGTATATGCACAAAAAGACACCAAATATATTGGTTATCTCCCTAGGGAGCCAGGAAAAAAAGTGGTAGAATTTCTATGTATGAACTGAGGTGAGGAAATAGTCAAAACAGAAATAATGAACTGCGTACTGAATGTGGAGAAATCAATATGCTTGTAAAGTATTAAGGGTTCCTAATCTAATATTTAAAAGGGGATCATTTTCCTTTAATGTGGAAAATAGTTACAGCATAATTCAGATAACATCCTAAACTTCAGGAAACATGCAGAAAAAGTATTGCTGAATGTCATTACCGTGGCGGTCTGCAGTGCATCCCTGAAATGACTTGTTAAAGGCGCTTATGGCAGAATTGGAAGGGATCTCCACAGACACAGAATTAAGTTCCCTACTGCCACAGACCCCTCCGTAATTCAAGATAGGAATTTATCAAACTCCTGTGCAGATATTTTGCCTGAATGCCTTCTGGAGGAAGGCTTGCTCCAGAGCACTGGCTCTCCAATAGGAAGAAAACATCCGTTTTCTAACCAGTCTGTGCCTGTTTGTTCTTTTGCTTAAACAGCTTACATTTTCAAGTAGTAACCCCAGAAAAGTTGTAAACATTCTTGCCTGTGTTGCTCTAAACTAAACAGGCCAAGGTTTTTCAGCCTCACTTGTTGCATCCTGGGATAGCATTTGCCCATTTCATGCCTGTATCATGCTGCAGATGAGTCAGTTATGCCATAGTTGACTGCTCCAACCCACATTTTCTCTGTTATATCCAGTTTATAACAGGAATACTTGTGCTTAATCCCCAGGTACATGACTGCTGTCAGTGTATCAGTTGTTATACATTGACATGAATCACTGCATGTCATTAGTGACTTCCCTTCAACTCCTGTCTCCCATATCTAGTTCTTTACTACTTCATAACTCTTAATCCCACCCCTTTTTTTTTGTCTTAAGAATTCTTTTAATGACATTCTAACAAAGCAGTTAGCTCTCCCCTGTTCCTCCTCTTTAAAGAATCAATCAAATTTAATTTTGATTTAATTTGATTTAATGAAATAATAAACTTGAGTAAAGCAGCACATGAGATGCATGATATACACCTCTGGGTACATCTTTCCATTCATACTTTCCATTGTCCTCCATGCCTATGTCTTTTATTATCTCAGTATTTGTTCTAACACTTGGTCTGTGGAAGTGATACGCATAGTCTGCAGTTTCCTTGGTCCCTGCTTCGTCATAGGCATTGTACTCGGTACTCTCATGGAGTAGATGCTTAGTAACAAACCAAGCTTTAACTGGGTAGGAGTATTAAGATAAAAATCTCATTTTGTGGAGTGCTGAAAGGACACTGCCTCTACCTTCATCTGCCTTATCTCAGTGTATCATCAACATTTGACAATTCGTATGTTTATAATCACTTGCATATTTAACTCACCAGTTTCAATTCCGTTTGATTTTTGTTTTAGCTGAGGTTGGATGAGAACAGTTTAAGGGATGATGATTCTCTAAGTCCTAACTTTCAGTGCTTTACATCTTTTTGTTCTGTTTTATACAGGATGCTTCCAGCTCAGATGGTGGATTATTACAATCCTACAGGTCCTCCCCCTCCTCCCCCTCCCCCTGTGATACCTTCAGCACAAACTGCGTTTGTTAGTCCCCTTCAGCTTCCCGTGCCACCTTCCCATTCTGGACTGGTGACTGGCTCTACGTATGCCGCTGCTCATCCTTCTCCTTCTAGTGCGCTTGTTGTCACTGCACCTCCTCCTCCCGGCCCACCTCCCCCTCCTCCTGGCCCTCCTGCTACAGGTTCATCCCTCTCTTCCTCCCCAATGCATGTTCCCCCCGCCATGGAGGCAAAACGTCACGAGCCTGCGCAGCCGCCAATAAGTGATGCGCGCAGCGACCTTCTTGCTGCCATTCGAATGGGTAAGTGGATGCTGACTTTTACCTATTTTTTCTTTTCTTTTCACTAAAAGCCCTGTGTTTTCAAGTGATCCGAGATCATGGCTTCTGTTCCCAGCTGGGCAGAATGTCATTAAGAGACTCGTTAACCCTCGTTACCACACACCTATTCTCACATGCGTCAGCCCTGACTTTGGATCTGTTTCTGAAGCCTAAATATTCCGAGGTGTACAGCTTTGTTAAATATGTTTGTGTGTGTGTGCACATAACGAGATGAAAACAGGGCTCGTGTTCCTTACGTAAAGTAGCCAGCAGCAGTACATGGATGCTCGGTTCTGTTCAGAACCGTGTTTCCCAACAGCAGCCTCAGCCCGCTGATTTTTAACCACTGGCTAATGGCTGTTCCTGACTTTGCTCACACTACGGAGCTGCAGGCCTAATGGTATTTCCAAAGCCAAGTGTGAAACGTTTCATCTTCAGCTCAAAAGGATCCGTACAGTCTGGGATATGTAGTTTTAATATGTTGCTGGCAATCTTAGAAGTTGAGAAGCATTCATTCTCTGAGAATGGACTCCAATCTGCCTTTTTCCTGCCTTCCTTGCTCAGGGAGGCTCTCTGACTCAGTGGTTTCTTTTTCCTTCTTACTGGATATATTGTTAGAATACAAAACTCACCAGTAACAGCATGAAATTCTAAAATCTTTTGTGCAGTGAACTTTGAGAGTAATTGTCTCTACAGGAATCCAGCTGAAAAAGGTGCAGGAGCAACGTGAGCAAGAAGCAAAGCGAGAGCCTGTTGGAAATGATGTGGCAACCATCCTTTCAAGACGCATTGCCGTGGAATACAGTGATTCCGATGATGATTCTGAGTTTGATGAGAACGATTGGTCGGATTAAACCTGACCCTGAGCCCAGCGGCGAGTTCCCGAAATACTTGGCTTCAGCGATTTGCTTTCTTAGCGAGATGTAAAGCAGGACGTTGCCGTGTATTCAGGCATCCAAGTGCTGAAACTGAATGGGTGTTACTCAGAATGCTGTAGCTTAGCAACTCCGGTAATAACGACGTGATTATGCTTATGCAGATCAGAAACTTGTCTTACTTTCAGTATTTACCGCGTAATACTTAAGTGCCACTAAATGTAGCAAATCATGTGCTGCGTGCAAAAGATGCTGCAGTTGTTGCACTGTTACAGAACCAGCATTTTCTTTTACTCTCCTGATCTTGAAGGGATAAAATATATTTTTTTTGACTTTACATCTTATTCTTTTAATTACGTAAGCGACTTAGGTACTTGTGAATTGGTCTGGTTGTTAGTCTTTGAGGGCAGTTAACTATAGGGCTGAGTCAAGTGTTGAGTTCCCTAAGTATGACTTTTAGCTTTTTTATTAGTTACTAATTATGCCCACTTTTAGTCTATTTTTAACCACTTCTAGGCTTAGGGTTTTTTTTTTGCGTACAGAATTGATTTTATATGATTTTTCTTATTTTAAAAATGTAGCAGATGATGAAACTTATTCTTTGAAGAGTGAATCCACATGAACCCAAGTTGATATTTTGTGCGCAGAGTGGATGAGCTTGTAGCTGTCCCAGCTCTAGGTTGCTGGCCGCTTGGCAGGTGGGGTGCTGGGGGCTCTCAGATGCGCGTCCACCTTAAAAATGAAAGTTGAAATACCTGTAGAGCTTTTCAGTTTCCAGATACAGATCAACTAGATGCAAAGACGTCAGGATAGACCTGATTGAAGCCGTATGGCTATTGCAGTGTAGAACTGTTACTCTGTTATTACTGGAGGTTGGAACAGTCCAGATCTAGCAATCAGATACATTTCACAAGTCTTAAACTTTGGTCTTTAAGCCTCTAGGTATAAATGTTTAAGTTTTGTTGTTGTTTATTTGTACATGTCTAGTCATGACGGATCGTTTTCTGTTTCCTGTAGCACGTTTACTCAAAACTACTCTTACTTGGAATGTATTTCTTTCCCAGTGCATCCCATTGATAAAACATTGGCAGTTAAAGCAGTTTTAATGGCTGTTTAGGTACTATGCCATATATATACACTTGTTTTCTGCTTCCCTAGGAACAGTTGCTGCCATACAGTCTGCTTTGGCTGTCTCTGTTTTCCTTCAAAAATAATTCCTTTTCTCTTTTGCAGTACAGTATTAAAATGTCTTAGTTTTGTTTTTTCTCTCTTCTGGACTGAAAGTCAGGCTGCTGCTTTGCCTAATGAGGCTTTTAAAAATGTATTTATAGCAGGGGCAGACTTCTTTCCTTACCAGGTGACAGTTTTAATCTTTGTAATTGAAGTCTGTAATTCCAGGTCTAACATTTGGTAAAGCTCCTTTGTTTTGTGAGGCCCTGTCCTTGCTAATAATAAAAAAAGTATGTAAAATAGAAAGGAAAATGGAAGATGATTATCTAACCTGTGTTTACACAATTAGCAGTTTTAGTCCTGAGGATGTAACAGTCTAACACGATGTCTGCATGCAAACTCTTGGCTGCTGTGTTGCTGTTGAACCCGCGTACGACTTTTCAATCCGTGGCGGCTGGCTTTCTGGTAGGGTGGTACCATGCTGCCTCGACCTTGGCGTGAAAATACATCCCCCAAAGTAGGGCCAGTCTCTGCGTAGCGGTGAGCAGCGGCAGCTCGGGGCGGGGGCGTTGGTGGCAGCTGAAGGTACTCACCTCCGCTTCGGCTGGAGCTGGCTCAGTTGTAGCTTTAAAATACAGAGCTGATGTCTGCTACACTCCCAGGTCTGTGCGTCCACCACGGTGGACAGAAGGTGGACCGTAGCCGGATGGTGGATGGCATCGCTGTACGGGAGAGGGCTTGTTCCGCTCGTCGCGGTGGCTTGCAGAAGGATTCTGTGGACGGGGAGGCTGAAAGCGCGGCGGGGACTGCAGTCTTGCGTCCCGGTATAGGTGGGGGGCGTACTCTCGGTGTTCTTTTAATACCTGCTGAAGCGAAAGAGCTCAGCAGACAATTCTTTCCTAATCTACTGAAATTTGCTATCAAGAAGATATATTTTACGAGCACGGAAGTCGTGTGGGTCTGAAATTTTGTAATTTGTGTTAAATAATAAGCATTAAACAAGCAATCAGTTGTGACCAGTCAAGATAGTGTAGATTTTTCAGTCATAGTAGCCAACCTGTTTTTCTGAACCTGCAATGTTGTCATTTTTCTTTTGGTATTTTTATTAATAAAACATGAATTGAATTTAGTGATGTAAACTAACATTATTCTTGGCTGGTTTTATCAGTTTTATCATCCTTTGGATTGTGAATAAGTAACGAATATGAATAAAACCTCACTTTTAAGCCTGTCTTTCTTTCCTTAGATTAGTAAGATTTTGTTATTCATCTTTATCCCCTATGGATAAATAGGGGAAATGAAAATTTAAGGCTTCCAAATGATACCTCAGGAACCACAGTTTTATTGGGATGGAGGCTGGAGTCTACAAAACCAGTCTCCTTTAAGGTTCTGTTCTTCCTCCTGACATGCATACTTCTTTGTTCTTTTACACCCTTGATTCAAGCTCCAAGTTTAAGTTCGTGGCTAGTGTGAGCAGGTATTAATTTCCCTACAGGTAGCTTTTATTTTTTTCAGTGAAACGTGTTAAACAGCAGCTTTGCTTCCAGAAAGAACAGGGCAGAATGTGTGAGTTGTATGAGCTAGCCTCCTTCTCCACTTTTTTTAATAAGAAAGTCTTTTTAGGCTAGTGCCACCAAACACAATATTGTGCAAGAGCAGTATCTGAAAATTCCAGTCCCTCTGGCGCTTGGCTTTTACATCACTGAAATTTTCTCTTTGATTTGAACTTAATTCAGGTGTTTTAGAGCAAAGACACTAATTCCGCATAGAAACTGAATATATGAGCTTGCCGTTTTGGTTGAAAGGCTTAATAAAGCATTTGTAGCTGCTCATCTATCAGTTGGGGTTGGAGTTAGTGCTGCTACAGCTTCTGTGGTTGTCTTCTGAATGTTAAAAAGGGCTTCCATGTGACTACACTGATGCCAGTTGGATTTTTAGATGCTTAATTTCTCTGTACTAGGGTGAACTGCATGAGGAAGAAAATTGCTTGTCGTGAGAGAGGTGCATGCCGTTCGGAACAAGCTCAAAACTGAGCTTGTTTGTGGTATGCAGATGGAGCTGGAAGAAGGGAAATGACTCCTTGGGAAATTGGTTCCTGTGATGTATTTTGCAGGTACGTTATCTTTCATGTTTTAATAATGAAGAGATGTTCCCTTCCACGTGAAACCACACACCTAAGGATACAGAAAATGTGTAATTTCTAGAACTGTTTAAGATCTCGCTGTAAACTGAACGGAGCATAAAGCTGATGATAATGAAAGTTGCGTTAGAATCTTGTGGCTGGAAGCTGAAGTTGCACGAATTCAGGCTTGAGCTGAGGCACAATTTCCGAGCAGCGGAACAAAATAAATACTAGAACAGCTTATCTAAAGATGGCTTTGACAGTGATTGTTGTGGGAATTTCTTTAGGTGACATTACTTTTTTTTTAAATTTGATGAAAAAAAAAAAAAAACAGAACTCCAACCTCCAAAGTCTGCTTTGGGGAAAGGTTCTTGCCCTGCGGGGGCAGGCAGCCTGAGTTGTTAATTCTGAGTCTGTTTGAGGTGTTCCTTATAGCACAAAGAAGTACAAGGGTCGTCAGCATCTTGAAGCAGCTGTGTATTCGGGTACTTGAGCATCCTCAGTGTGCTCAGTGATAGACGGGGTGAAAACAAGTTATGAGCCCTGCTAGAATCATGGAATCATGATTGGATTGAGGTTGGAAAAGACCTTTAAGATCATCAAGTCCAACCATTAGCCCAAAACTGCCAAGCCCACCACTAAACCGTGTCCTGAGGCACCACATCTGCGTGTCTTGTAACTACCTCCAGGGATGGTGACTCAACCACTGCCTCCAGGCCCTGGTGTCTGGCAT